ACAACATAGTTGGTGTCAGGCGCATTCTGCTGGTCTTCCTGAGGGTCAGCATCTATCTGCATGGGCTCTACAGACCCCTGTTAACACAAAAAGCATTGTTAAAATAAGGAAGCATATGCAACACAAAACAAAGTAGACTAAGCAAAAAAAAGGCCTAACATACTTAAGAAGCTCTAAGGAATATTTAGAGCCGCCCAAATCTCATGTGGAAAGAAAAACATCACAACACTGAACATCAGCTTGAGGGCTTTCAAACGGCTTCACTTCCTGTCTGCCTAAACTGTGTGGTTACCTCCAGAGAGTGTGAAGAAAAGCTGAAGCTGCACACACTGGATCTCACTGTAAACTCCATGTATTGGTCAGACATGCCTGTTTGAGAGTAGACATTCAGCTCTACACCTGAGCTTTCCCTGATTCTACCCTGATCCTGCTCTTCAGCATCCATCCACCCTGACTGAAGAAGACTCTCCTGTATGAAGGCGGATGCTTATCAAAATCACAGTGGGACGGCAGCAGTTCGAAGACATAACAAGTCAATGAATACATGAATATAAACCAGCCAAAAAGAAAAAGGTTTATACTTTTGAAGTGATCATTATCTGCACGGTGAGATAAAAGTGGCCGCAAGTACATTTGCAAACATATTGAATTTTGATGCATGCTATCAAATCAATTCACAGACATCAAGAGGTAAATATTGCTTCAATATTTAATTAGTTTAGTTTTTTTTAATGACTTTATTCTTCAAAATATTACACTCAAAGCAGAGTTAACCAGATAATATGGCATCAAATGTTCTTTAAGTGCCAACATTTTATATGGTATTATCATGATATTAGCATAATATGCTAAAAAGGGTTACTTTAAGAGGCTGATAAAAAGACATACATGTTGTTTAATTCTTTATTATATAAATGTAAAATTAGGAGTAACATTAAAATCAACCAAACCATAAATAAATGCTTTACAAGTGTCATCGCCAGTTTAGTTTATTGTACTACTGTTAACAAATGCAAACTAATTGAAAAGGTATTGTAAACAAGAGGCCTATAAAGAATAAGATTTGAATAAATATCTTTGGCATTGTGTATGCCACATTACTCTACATTAAATCTCCACATTAAAGGAAACTCTACCCTAAGTGGTTTCAAATCTTTAGAAAGTTTCTTTCCTCTGCTGAACACAAAATAAGATATTTTGAAAAGAGCTAAGCACCTGTAACCATTGACTTCCCTAGTCAGAAAATCTAACACTATGAAAGTCGATACTTACAGGTTTACAGTTTATCAAAATATCTTTATTAGTGTTTAACAGAACTTAAAGGTTTGAAACAAGTAAAGCATGAGTAAATGATGACAGAATTATTAGTTTGGGTCAACTATCCCCTTAATATTTGAAAATGGTAACGTTACTATGTTCATTTTAAAATGTTTATGCTATCAAGTGTTCAAGCATTTGGTGCTGTGATGAACACCACTACCAGTAGTAGTACAACAATCTGAATATTCATAAAACCATTATACACAATATTTTGAAGTGCTCAAAATAAAATCATACATGCTAATTATCAGGATATACTGTTAGGCATGAGCGGGTATAAGATTCTGATGTATGTTAACCTTGGATATTAATATCACGATTTCATGGTATGACGGTATTAAGATTACTGCGCTAAAATATTTTTAAAAGTCTGGGTAAAAAAACAAAAAAACATTTTGCCCCTTTGAACACAATATATTTTATTGTGAGGAACATTTAAAATATTTTGGAGTGGTAAACATGTCAGGCTGAATAATTCAAATGAATAATGGACTTCTGCGGTCTTCATTAGTTTCAAAAACACACACAAAAAAATGTACACGTTAAAACGACATCTTTGGATATCTTTTCTGCTGGAGATACTGTTGTCCTAAAAAAAAAAAAAAAATGTAAATAAAAAAACCTTACTCATACCTTAGGAATGATATTACAAATATTTTGAAGGTTTTAAAACCTTGACTTTTCCAAACTGGGGAATACATTGAACACTGTTATCATCCCATGCCTATATACTGTATTGTAGAATATCAGCATGTCTAGTGGTTACATTAATGGCTATATCTAAATTTAACATTACATTAGAGCAGACTTTCTCTGCAAAAACAAAGTGGGTTCATTGTAATGTAACTTACAGTTTCATAAACGGTATTCTAGTAACTAAACAGGTCTAGTGTTTCTAAAATAAAAATATCACTAAAATGTGAAAAGCTCAATTGCATTTAAACATTTCTGTCATAAAAAGCGAAAATGTTTAAATCTGAAATATTTAGTGCTCTGTGTCTTCATCATTTCTGAAAGCAAATTATGAAGGCTGTTTCTCAAAACCCAGTGTGCTGCCTACACAGACAGTATTTTAAGCATTATATGTAGGTATGGAACATCTAAATGACGGGTTTCCGTGAATGTATTACAGTATGTTAGGAGACCCAACCTGAATTTCAAGCACACTGGCTAACTGATACAAAACAGACAGCTGGCTAACGAGATAGCTTTGCTAAATACACTTAGCCGGCTAAAGAAAGTTTCAACCCGGGTCTATCACAAACAACCGCAAGAAAATCTACAGGAGCCCTCCGGGTGGGCACCAAAACAGCTCCGCGGGTCGTGTTTATTGTCGAAAGTGCAGCGGAGTGCCTCCGCGGGCGGATAAACGCGTCCCGCCGCTAAACTTGAGAAGTGCTGCCGCGTCCTGAGGGCCGCTGTGACTTACGAGCTCACGCTAGACGAGCCAACGGCTGCCGTACAGGAGCATTTAACACCGTAAACACCTGCGCTTCGCCTCGGTGTGCTACCTCTACCAGCTCTCGTGCTGCGGAGGGCGACGGAGAAGAATTTAAAAGGCGCTAATTTACCTGAAAGTTAAAGACCTGCACGGGTAGTGGCATCTCCTCCTCCTCTGCAGAAACAGAGCACACAAACACATCCGGGGCATCAGAGTGCGCGTGGTCGACGACAGGCAGCGCGGAGACGTCACTACCTTGACACTTCGCGAGTCACTGCACGCGCATTTGGCAGCTATATTTTGCCGGTGAAAGGAATAACAAAGTAAAGGATAATGTGAAGGGAAATATTGCATACAAGTTAACTAGTGAGACATGTATTGGAACGTTTCAAATTAAATATTGACTACTCGTGTGAATTATATTGTGATAAAATGTAACAAAATTTCATAAACATATTCATTACATTTATTATTTATGAATTTCATCACAAGAAACCCAAATTCAGCTGTTAAATTGGGTGGATCTGATTTAATGATATATGTGAATGATTACAACATAGTATTCAACTAATGGTTATGATGGGAAAATACGTGGTAGGGGGGTAAATCATTTTTTTATTTTATTTCAGGCCCGTAGCCAGGGGGGTTCTGCTGGTTCGAAAGACCCACCCCTCACTGACAAATGTCCAGAATTTGACCCATATAATTGAGCCAGTGCCATGCCATCATACATGAGAAAATATTGAAGAAGTCTTGGGTATACTCTGTTGGCTATCGCTTCAGCGTGACTCCAGCTAATCAGTTTTGGCCAATGCAAACAATTTTTTTCTACTCTGTTATCCAGCTGTATAAGAGAACATACAACATACCTGTTTTAATTTGTTTTTCACTGGAAAATTTTATATATATACATGAGACCCGATCGAAGAAAAAAAAATCTGTGATTCTATAATTTAGAGTTTTTACATTTTGTTTTTATTTTTAATTTTACAGCATGTCCACTGTAGTTGACAACAGGACTATTTTAGTTCGAAACGACCGCCCTTCAGACAACAAAACTTTTCAGGAATTGGCTGTAAAGGGATATTAATCCAATATTATTGTAACGAAAACAAAACAAAAGCCATTTTTCCCGTTTGTATTAAAATTCCTGAAACAGTTTAGTTGAAAGAGAGCTGAACTCAAAAAAGAAAAAGAAGTGATGTTAATCCAAAACAAATTTAACATAAAAGTGATTTAAAACTGATTGTCATTCTCTAATTGTCTTTAATTCTCTAATTGTCAGATTCTAAATCAGAGTCTCCCTCAATTATTTTATAAAGAATCCTCTCTGCTTCAGTTCTGCCTCCTACAACATGCAGTCATTAATTACATTAAGATGGTCCTGGTGTCCACTATAGTGGACATTTAAAAAAGGATGATATTTTGAAACACAAACAAGTTAACAGTTTTGAAAGCTAATTTTTGTTCCTGACACTTTAATAAACAAATGTATATGTAATAATAACAGAAAAAAAAAACATTTAAAAAGCTAAATTTTACATGCCTCTTTCTTTCCCATAAAATGTGCTTGTTTGGATGTCAGCCATTATGGATGCAGTGTAAGAAGTGGTTCCTAGCATGCCAGCCAATCAAACCAAACGACATATCACTAGAAAGCCCAGGATGTCCTCTGAACAGTACAACAGGACTTGACAGAGTAGCTCAAACAATTCAAAGAAAATTCTTTTAAACGCAATGTCCACTACGAAGGACACAAGTCAATGGGCGGGGTCTCAGGAGGATATATATATATATATATATATATATATATATATATACACAAACACACACACACACACACACACACACACACACACACACACACACACACACACACACACACACACATATATATATATATATATATATATATATATATATATATATATATATATATATATATATATATATATATATATATATATATATATATATATATATATTAATGATAAATTATGTTATCAATTTGTATTGTAAAAATATAATAAATTTTTTTATTTAAAAAAAATCTTCATCTAAGTTTATGTTATAATATACTGCCATTTGAGTGAAGTTTGGATATCTTTTGCAGCACTTTATTATGCTTTTCACATAGTTACCCATGACATGAATCAAATACCACCACAACCATACCTTCACAGTGTCTCACACATCCTGGTTTATCTTAAGGCAAACAACAGAAACAGCGACAGTGATTCTATATCTGCCAGTAGTTTAATTTCAGTCTTTACATCAATAAATCACAAACAGTCCTGAAAACATAAATCCTCAATCAGAGCAGACACATTTTATCTCATTAAAACTGTAAGATTAATCATGTAATCAAATCAAAGGAATATATGAACACTTCCCAAAAAAACAAACAAACAACAACAACAAGCGGGCATTATTTTAGCCCTAATCAGTAATGGCACATTTCATTGTCCTTCAATCATATCAAAATATATAGGAAATTAAAATTAAAATTAAAACAAGCTTTTAGTGTAACATACAGTCTACACAAAATTACTTTCATCTGCAGTATATGCAGTCCAGTTGTGATTACAGTTTATTTTGTATAGTATTTTTTGTTATAGTATTTCACAGGAGTGTAATATTTCTGTCATTGACATACAGTACATTCACAGATAAACGCAGGTACAGTATGAAATGTTGAACAGGCAAAAAGTAAAATACTAAAAAGTAAAAGGTTTTTACAGTCACCCCTCAGGTAAGAGAACCGACCATGGCCACGCATTTACCTTGCAAAAGCTATTATTTACACAGTCTTCTGACACATTCACCATCCCCAAAGGGAACGGTACCTGCTGCAGGTAAAATATTTACAGCAACAATTTCCACACAATAAGCTCTGAAGAAATTTAACTTGTGTTGGAACGGGGCAGAGAACTCGCTATGCTTGATTTTCAGTAACTAATAACTCATCCTGACACACACACACACACGCACGTCGTGGCCTTACGTCACCCCCTCCACTCTTAAGGCAAATCTGAATAAAAACGCAAACAAAGCAAATTTGGCATTTTTATGTTGATCTGTTGCATCAGACATAAGACAGAAAAATGCGTTTTGACACCTCATAAAGTGGACTGATCAGTTCGTATCAGCAGAACTGAACAGTAAGAGCTTGCTGTTTGCATGGCATATAGATGAAGGAAATGGCCGAGATGTTTCTCAAAACACAGTACACTTCTTGCCCCGCTTCTTCACAGGAGGAGGGCACAAAACAGCACGGATGGCCTCATCAAAGACGGTTTTTAAACCCCGCTGCGTGAGAGCAGAACACTCCAGATACTTCACAGCACCTACAAAGACAGAGAATCCAAAAAGAGAGAGAAACACCATTAAAAGTTTAGGTGTTTAGGTGCTTTTTATAAGTGGCTGTTCTGTATAATACAGTTGAAGTCAGAATTATTAGCCTTCCTGATTTATTAACCCCACCCCATATATATATTTTCCCCTCAATTTCAGCTTAACGGAAAGAATAAAATGTCAACACATTATTACTAAATATAATAGATTTAATAACTCATTTCTAATTACTGATTTATTTTATATTTGCCATGATGACAGTAAATTATATTTTACTAGATATTTTTCAAGACACTTCTATACAGCTTAAAGTGGAATTTAAGCCCCGGTCAGATCACATGATTTTGTCACAATTTCCTTGATGTAGTGTGTCGTGGGGAGTCGTAAACGACAATTGGGCGTCGTGACCCAAGGTTCATTTTTTTCTTCTCGTGTAATGTGGCATAGTTCACGACAACCAATACAATGTCTGCAACGCCTCACGTCACCATCACAGGAAGTCTATCATGTTACATTTTTCCCGATCTTTATGATGAGCTCCGTCACATGGGTGAAACTGGACAATAGGAGCACATAGTTTATCAGTTATATCCGCAGGTGCTGCCGTTAATACGTCAGGTAAAAAATAGGCTGCATATTTACTTATGGGTGGATAAGATCAATTATTGGTTATGCAAACTTTAACTAATTTTTCTGAACTATTAAAGTATTTTAAGCGATTTTAACTGACAGACCGACACAAATATGCAGACATCTTCCGTCTGAGTTCGTTCTTTCGAGGTAATCTGGAAACACTTTCAGTGCTGCTAATACATTGTAAAAGCCTGTCTTGCTTATTTAAACTACTTGATTAAACTAATTAAATTGAAACTCACCAGCAATGGATGATTTTGTCATTAAAAATCAAAAGTTTAATTTAAGTTTCCCTGAAACGGTGAATTTCACTTTAAGATTAGGCTAGATTTATTTATTTAACAAACCAGTTTGTGTTTTGGCGCTGAAGCATGGCTGATTCAGAAGCACTTCACCGCAGATGTTATTTGTTATTTTTCTTAATCAAGTAGATAACTGACAAAAAAAAAAAACATTAAAATTAAGATACAAATTATAGCGAATGAAATTTGTTTTAAAAAAAAAAGAATTTACAAGGAAAATATATAAATTATATTTTAGTTTGAGCCCATCCACTACTCCACTGTGCGGGTTGATTTGTTTTGCTCTTGAAAAAAGGACTTAATTATTGCTTCACAGTGATTGTATCACAAACCTCATGTCATAAATTAGCTAATTTTTTAATATGTAATTATTTTAAAGATTATGTCTTGGGCATCTGATTTTTCTTGCTGCTGATGTGCTTTCATTTTCTGTTTTTTCTGTGCTTTCATGTCTCACTCATGGCAAATTCAGGCAAGGGAATGTTTAATAAGCAACCCATGGCTAGAAAACATACATTTAGATTTAAAAGAAAATATCTCAATATTAAAAAGGAAATATACGTTTGATCGTATCAATGTTCTTATGAATGCCCTTAAATATTGTAGCCTAGTTGTCAGCAAGCATCAGTGTTTATTGAGACTTACATAGGATTAAAAAACATTTAAATTGACAAAGGAAATACTGTTATAGCAACACTTGTGACTGCTTTGGGAAATAACGCTCGTTGTAGATGTCACAGGATGACTGAAGAACGTGTAGTCTGGTACATTAGCTACCCACAATAAGTCAAGATTTTATCAAGACAAAATGGCATAATCTGACATAGTGACTTTTGTGACCGACAATAAAAGTAGTGTGATCTGATCTTTAAAGATGTAACTATAGGTTAATAATGTTATTTAGGCAGGTTAGGGTAATTAGGCAAGTCATTGTATAACAATGGTTTGTTTTGTAAACCTTCTTAAAAATATTGTTTGATGGGGCTAAGAATTTTGACCTTAAAATGGTTTTAGCATATTTTAAAATGCTTTTATTATAGCCGAACTAAAACAAATTAGACTTTGTCTAGAAGAAAGAAATATTATAAAAGTCTGTAAGAAATACAGTGAAAATGTCCTTGCTATGTTAAACATCATTTGAGAAATATTTGAATAAAAAAATAATCACAGGAGGATGAATAATTTTGACTTCAACTTTTATATATGAATTTTTTGGAGTCAAGTGTATCCAGCTTAAAATAAAATAAATTAAGGGACCTTCTATGACATCTTAGGTAATCTATGACTGGGGTTTTGGGGGTCAGTTGAAACATTTGAAGAAAAAACGTAATAATAATAATAAAGATAATAATAATAATGATGATGATGATGATGATGATAATAATAATAATAATAGTAATAATAATAATAATAATAGAAATAATAATAATGATGATGATGATGATGATAATAATAATAATAATAGTAATAATAATAATAATAATAGAAATAATAATAATGATGATGATGATGATGATAATAATAATAATAATAGTAATAATAATAATAATAATAATAATAATAATAAAGATAATAATAATAATAATAATAGAAATAATAACAATGATGATGATGATGATAATGATGATAATAATAATAGTAATAATAATAATAATAATAATAATAATAATAGTAATAATAATAATAATAATAATAGAAATAATAATAATGATGATGATGATGATGATAATAATAATAATAATAGTAATAATAATAATAATAATAGAAATAATAATAATGATGATGATGATGATGATAATAATAATAATAATAGTAATAATAATAATAATAATAATAATAATAATAACAATAATAATAGAAATAATAATTAAAATAGAAAAATATTTTTAAAAAGTTTTACAGATGAACACACTTTTCTGTAAAAAGGACAAGCAAGGAAATTAACATAAGTTGAATCATTCATGCAAAATTATGATTAAGCTTCAAATAAATGTGCCAGTTTTCCACACAGGGCTATGTAATTTTGAATAAAAACCTTTATTTTAAATACTAAAAACTTCATGATGTAAGCTAAATTGGTGTGGTGACCCCTAATAAATAAGGGACTAAGCCACAGGAAAATGAGTGAATGAACTTCTTGATGAGTTTACTTGTGTTGTCTTTGACTAATATTTAAATATGTTTGATGATCTGAAACATTTAAGTGTGACTAACATGTAAAAAAAAAATAGAAATCAGGAAGGGGTCACATGCTTTTACACACCACTGCACAAACCATTCTTACCGATTTCTCTAGCCATAGCAAGACCTTGAGGGTAAGTGATAGGAGCTAGTTTCTTATCCCGTAGACGTTCAATAGTGTCCTTGTCATCCCGCAGGTCGAGTTTGGTGCCCACAAGTATGATGGGGGTGTTAGGACAGTGATGGCGAACCTCAGGGTACCACTATGAAGAGATGAAATGTGTTAAAACAAGGCCACCTATTTAAGCAGTCCTGATGTACAGGAAATATTGCAATGTTATTCTTGATAGATACGTACCTTTGCCCTGACGTTCTCAAAGGATGCAGGGCTCACCAGTGAGAAGCAAATTAAAAACACATCCTGTAGAAAGCAAAAGGAGACTCTTTGTAAAAAATCAATGCTATCAATTATTCATTTTAGATTACATTGCACTATATAAAGCAGAGGACATTGGAAAACTGAAATATAGACCTCTGAAATTATATATGTACAGTTAAAGACAAAAAACTAGCCCTCCAGAGAATTTTTTTATGTTTTATTTATGTTTTAAAGAGAGAAGATTTTTAACATTTTTAAACATAAACGTTTGATTTGCTCATTTGTAATAACTAAGCTTTAAATAGGACTAGTCATTTTGCCAGTATTCAACATAAAGTCCAATTTACAGGCTTAACTAGATTAATTAGGTTAACTAAACAAGTTACTGTAGATTAATTAGACAAGTCATTGAACAAATGTGATTTGTTATGTAGCCAATTAAAAAAAATCTTAACAGGCTAATAATATTGAATGTAACAGTTTTTACTTTTTTATTATTAATAATAATTTTTATTTCAGCCAAACTAAAAACAAGCTGTTCTGCAGAAGAAAAATATAATAGGACACACTATGAAAAATTTCCTTATTCTGTTAAACATCACAAGGGATTATTGGAAAAAGAATACAAATTTTACAGTAGGACTAATAATTTTCTCTTCAAATGTACATCACTTTTATCATTTCAAAGAAAAAGTGCATATATCATTCAGGGTATGGTTGCGTTGGTAAGACTTTACTCTATTTGAATGAAATGTATTACAGTGATAGCTCAAACAAAGCTCAAATGTGATATTATTATATTATTATTTACAAAAAGGAAGCTCAAGTTTTGAGCTTTTGATCCATTTGATGCAACTTTTTTCAATAAAAGTATTTTAAAAATTAATTTTGACCGCAAATGTTTTAATGCTGAAATACATTTTTATATTGACAAAAAGAGGTAAGTGGACGAATACATACATTTTCCAAATGTGTATATATATATATCTGGACAACTAATGTTTTTGCTATCTCCCTAATGAGTTTGTTTTGTTTTTTTAGCCTAATGATGGCTTGCTTGACTGATGGTAACATCTCTTTTGATCTCATCTTGAGAGTTGACCGTAACAGATTCCAAAGGCAAATAGCACACTTGAAATGAACTCTGGACCTTTTATCTGCTCATTGTAATTAGGATAATAAGGGAATTATTAAGGGACACATGGCCATGGAACAGCTGAGAAGCCAACTGTCCCATTACATTTGGTCCCTTAACAAGTGGGAGGCAAATATGTAAACTGTTGTAATTCCTACACCATTCATCGGATTTTTTTCATCGGATATCCTCAAATTAAAGCTGCCAGTCTGCAGTTAAAGCACATCTTGTTTGTTTCATTTCATTGTGTTGGTGTATAGAGCCAAAACTGTTAGAATAGTGTTGATGTCCAAATATATATGGTCCTGGCTGTTTATACTATATTAACTAATGACTACATGCACAAAATACTGTCCAATTGTAATTTTTGATTATAATTTACAAAACAAGACACAGCAAAAATATAGTTTATTCTTTATAATCAAATGTCTAGTTATGAATGCAGTCTTAGTAATGAATAAAATAAAAGTATGTTTTTTTTGGTAAACAAACTTGCAAGAAACGACAGCATTATTATCACTACTCATTTAACAACTGTATTATTAACTACTCAAAAAAAACTTTACTCCTAGCTAATCAAGACAATTATTTACAACAGTGTTTCCCAACCCCGTTTCTGCAGTACACATTTTTAACCTCTTCCTAATCAAACACACCTGAATCAAACCAGCAGAACATTAGAAGAGACTCTAAAATCTGAAGTTAATGAGTTAATGGTTAAGGGAGACGTCCAAAACGTACTGTTGGTGTGCCTTTAGGAACAAAGTAGGGAAACACTGATTTACAATCAGTCAAAATTAGCCAATAACATAGATGTTTCGGTACCGTTTGGGGGTATGAAAGTGGTCTAAGGCGATCATAGTCCTCTTGTCCTGCTGTGTCCCAAAGGCCTAAGTTGACAGGCTTGCCATCCACCATAACATTGGCAGAGTAATTGTCGAACCTGAGGGTTACAAGCAGATTTTTCACAACATTAAACAAATGGGGCCTTAAAGAGCTGACACAAAAGAGCAGAACTGACACAGAAGTTCAAAACTCAACACACTGAACTCACACTGTGGGTATATACTCTCCTGGGAAGGCATTAGTGGTGTAGCTGATGAGCAGGCACGTCTTACCCACGGCACTGAAACACAGAAGACGCTGAGGTGTGAGTGTGACTGAACTACTAAGAGCTTTTGATCATTCAGGCAAAACACTGCAGGTCAATAGATTGTGTAACTGATTGCATTAATATAAAACAAACTTTTTTGTAATACAAGTTTCCCCAAAATGTTATGTTTAGATATGCAAATGAGGCATCATATAATTAAATTTGCATTAATTTGAATACATTCAAGTTTTCAAAAATTCAAGTTTTTGTTGTTGGACATAAGTCAAAGGAGTCAAAGAAAGATTTTTACTGAGAGAATTTTGGAAATCTCTATTTATAACTTAATAATTTAGAACATATTGCCAACAACCTGATTTCTTTTCACATTTTTGTAGAATTCAATGCTGTATATAATCAAGCAAATTATCAATGAAAAAAATCCTCATAAAATGCTTTCGAATATAAAAATTTGTAAAACTAAAGTCTAAACTGTAAAACTGTAAAGTCTGGTGGCTGTAATTACTGCTTAAGTGAAGATTTATGGCTAGTGCACATTGTTATTTTTTAGGTTAACAATTAATGTGTGCTAAGTTAATCCACTGAAAAAAATAGTTTTGGTACACTGTAAAATAAAATCTGCAGAATTTACAAAATATTTCAAGTTTTTTCAGTTACATTAGACATCCTATCCTATATTAATTATATTTGGACTTTCTGAAGAATTTTTGAGACTTACACGAGTACAACAACAGTTTGTTTCATATGGATTGATCTCTCGAAAAACTTATCCTTTTGTTTTGGAAGAAAAAAGAAGTTTATTCCGCTGTGGTGACCTCAGATTAATAAAAGAACTAAGCCTTTTGCTGCGTTAGTTCTTAGAATCAATATTGACTAAAAATGTCCAGAACTTATCATCTTTAACGACATAAATTTTATTGCGATTAAATATGATATTGTCTAGATGTTTAGATGTTAGTACTTCAAAGCACTGGTGAATGACAAAAAAGCATTATTTATCAACATTAGACAAAGCATCAAACTCTAATGTGCATAACTCAAAAGAGAAAAAACTAAAAACAGCAATAATAATGTCAACAAAACTGCATAAAGTGAAGAGAATGAAGTGCCATGTAGGGAGTTCAAGGAAAGTACATTTTTACGATAATTTGTTGTATATATTTAGGAAACTTACTGTTAAACCGTTTTTACCATTGAAATTACGGACATTTTTTACAGTGTAAACATCAATCAAAATCTGACCATTTATATTCAGGGTTTTTCTGTTGACGTCAGTTTGCCGGATTTAACTACAATATTTTAACCACACCCCTCACGGTTAGTCTGCTACAAGAGAATGATGTGCAAAAAAGCCCCGCCCCTTACTCAATATTCCTTTTCATTTGGAAGTAAATCAACATACTGAAATAAAAAGTCTCAGCAACTTTAGGTTCACAAATAGGCTATTGAGATCTAAAGACACAGTTTTTAAAAGTGTGACACACCCAAAAGTGTACTTTGGAGGTTTTCTATGTAGCCAGATCAGTATAAATAATAATAATACATTCGCATTCATAAAATTCATAAACGCAAGATTTTTTTTCCTTGACTCTACGAAGAATAATATCTTTCAAGCTAAATTTAGCAATTTAATCAGAGTTATATAGGCTGATAACCATTCAATAAGTGGCAAAGTATCTGCACCTATAATTAAATTAGATAATAAATGCATTTACATAACAATTAAAGCGACAACATTTTATGGGATTCAATACAAACAAAACATTCTGACAAAATGATATTCTGAAAATACCAGCAGGTGGCAGCACATAATCGTAGTATAAACGAGTCCGTTATTTAACCGATTCATGTGAATCAATGATTCGTTTTAAATTTTCAGATTGTGTTGTGCTTTTATGAATTTTATGAATGCAAATATATTATTATTGAGACTGATCTGGCACCATAGTTTTCTTTACATTGAAAAGGCACATTGTGAAGGGCCACAATCTCTAAAATTGAAAGTTGGAGTGTCTCGCCTTCACGGCACATTAATGAAAGAATGAAGCAGGCAGAGAGGCTTTAGTATAGCATCCAGGCATCACATTGACCTCTCTCCAATAAAATGTCCCACCAGATGAGCCATGAATACAGGCTGACAGCTTCTTGTCATCAAAAAAGCACAGGCTTTATTTAAAGCGGAGTAAAGAGCAGTAAAAGGAAATGAAGTAGCAGGGTGAAAGTAAATAAGGAAGAGAGATAAAAAGTTAGGAAAAGGGGAGGACAAGTGAGGATGTGTGATAATGAATGGGATGTACATTAAAAAAATATTAAAGGAAAAGACCAAAATAGTATGTTTGATAGATGAAAATCCCGAGTAGGCTATAAAATGTGTTTGCAAATGATAGTGTAAGGTGGGAGAGCGGTTAAAACTTAAATGGCTACAAGATGAAAAATGTCAGTGAAATATAGCTAATGTTAATTCTCCACAGCCTGAAAGTTTGAATCAAGGACATAAATTTAGTAATATTTAGAGTTTTGAGTGATGTATTTATTTTTCTATAATTTTTTCCTCCAGTATCTCTTGAATATCAGATTAAACTCATATTTTAGTCTTTTACAAACAGTATCAGTCAGTAATGGCATCACAGCTAAGATCTTTTTTATTTTTTATAATTATTTATCATTTTACCGAACAGTTTTTAAGCCAATAAATTACTGACAGTATTATTAAGCTGACATTTTAGTATACACTCACCGGCCACTTTATTAGGTACACCTGTCCACATGCTCATCAAGGCAAATTTCCAATCAGCCAATCACATGGCAGCAACTCAATGCATTTAAGCATGTAGAAATGGTCAAGACGATCTGCTGCAGTTCAAACCGAGCATCAGAATGAGGAAGAAAAGTGATTTCATTGACTATGAAAGTGGCATGGTTGTTGGTGCCGGATGGGCTGGTCTGAGAGTATTTCAGAAACTGCTGATCTACTGGGATTTTCACGCACAACCATCTCTAGTGTTTACAGGGAATGGTCAGAAAAAAATAAAATATCCAGTGTGCGGCAGTTCTGTGGGTGCAAATGCCTTGTTGATGCCAGAGGTCAGAGAAGAATGGCCAGACTGGTTTGAGCTGATACAGTAACTAATTTTTTTTGTCTGATAATTATCAAGTAGTAATTGCTTCAAAGAGATACAAAATAATATTAAAACATGTAAGCAGCACAATGGCTGTGTTCCGATGGACAACCATGTACATGCAAATGTGTTACAAAATTATTGAAATATTAACTTCTGTTTCGAGAATTACTTGATGAACACAAACATTTCCAATACATGAACTTGAAATATTTTTGATCCACATTTCCAGTATCAATAGTTATTAGGCTCCTGAAGATCATTGGCTATAATGAAGACACAGTAGCCTTTATAACAGCACAATGTACTCAACACAAATGAACTGATTTTATTTAATGCGTTTTAATTTAATTTAAAATGACCTAATTTTTGGTATATCATAAAATAATTTAGACTACGCTCTGATTTAAAAAGAGAGAGAATTAATTATGAAAGTATTAATGCTCAAGTTGATTCTGGCGATCGCTGTGTGATTTCTGGGAGTGGATCATTTCCACTGGAGCGGATGAAGGTGTGAAAACATGACATCATTACATAGCGATTCCGCCGTACACGCGCATCTCATGTCTACACTGCACGAGATCGAATATTAGCATGCTTCACATATTACATTGTCGCGCTACTTTAAAGGAAAGAGATTCTTTGGGGAAAAGTGAAAAAAAAAAACTGAACGTATACACACAAATTATAAAAGCCGGAGAATACACTTCAGAAAACAGCCTGCCATCAGACAGAATATCCACATCTATCCGTCATTTAAAACGATAATAATACGGGAAACGACACAGAAATATTAGGATATGTTTAATAATTATGTAATGGTCCATTCTGTCCGAGCAAACCCCACTCGTTCGCCGATCCAGCCCACAATCCCTCGCAACAATTGCTTTTCATGCAAAAGAAAGCTCCGCACAAACGCATCAGTGCTACCTTTTATTCATCATCTTACCCGTCGCCGACAACAACACACTTGATGGCTTGCATTTGCAGTTCACGAGTGGTCTCCGACGAGCGAGGAATCTGAAGGAATAGCCTGAAATGAGATGTGGAGGTACCCGTGGGCTGGTACTAATGCTGTTCGGCTGCAGCAGCACCAGCGGTGAGTGGCAGTCGGGGGTATTTCACGATAATTCCGAAAAAACACGAATAGATGCTTCGTGCTTTTCCGGAAGTCTTGTGAGGCGCCGTCTGCTGGTTTCTCTGTCACTTTATACGACGCGCTTGCGAAAAGATTTTATAATAGGCTATTGATTAAACACCGAATATTACATTTGGCTTCTTAAGAGCACGTTTATATTTTTAAAGCAGTTGTAAATGAGATTAACAGAGCAGTCACAAGGTCAGTTTAGAGAACAACTGTCATTCCTGTGCCATTTGGTTAACAGTTGTTGTGTTGGGTGTGGAGGGGTGAGGCAGAATTACCCAGATAGATCAGTATAAAATGACATTAATTCACGATTACAAACAATTGTGTGTGCATTTACACACAAAAAACGCCTCTAACGTACAGTTGAAGTCAGAATTATTAGCCCCCCCTGTTTATTATTTTATTTATTTTTTCTGTTTATCGAAGATTTTTTAACACATTTCTAAATATAATAGTTTTAATAACTAATTTCTAATAACTGATTTGTTTTATCTTTGCCATGATGACATGATATTTTAGATATTTTCAAGACATTTCTATGCAGCTTAAAGTGACATTTAAAGCTTAAATTAACCAGGTTAATTGGCTTAACTGGTGTAATTAGGCAAGTTATTTTATAATGATGGTTTGTTCTGTAGACTATCGAAAAAGGATAGCTTAAAGGGGCTAATAATTTTGATCCTAAAATGGTGTTTAAAAAATTAAAAACTGCTTTTATTCTCGCCAAAATAAAACAAATAAGACTTTCTCCAGATGAAAAAATATTATCAGACTGTGAAAATTTACTTGCTCTTTTAAACATCATTTGGTAAATATTTTTAAAAAGAAATAATAATTCAAAGGGGGGCTAAAATTCTGATTTCAACTGTATAGGCTAGTGTAAAAAGCTAATAGGTAAGCAATTTGTCAAAGGGTCAGCATTTTCTGTGTGGGTACACAAAGTGTTTTTTAGACGAATACAGGTAAACCAGCAAATGATATACAACTAAACCTAGCTGGCAGCTATAGCTCTCTGTGACTCTCACATGGTGACCCACTGAAGCTAAGCAGCTGCCTGGTCAGAGAACAGTGTTGTGAAACAACCGATCCATTACTGTAAACAGAAAATTAGTATTCAAAGAGTGGTATGATAAAAACATTATATGTTTTAGATCTTTTAGATGAAAATAATCTAATTCTTCAACATAATTCATTTATGAAAAAATTAGATAAAATGTTCCTTTAGAGAATTTAATATTTTAAGTAAAGCTATTCCTATTGCTTTAAAAAAAATAGCACATAACACTGTAACATATTCAAATGTATCTACTAAATTGCCTGAATTAAAGATTAGAGAAGTAGGTATCCTAGATTTAAAAAATGTAACAACAAATTGGGCATATTTTAAAAAGTTAATTATTTTTAGATTTCAAAATGTAAAAGTTTGAAAATAATATATTTAAAAAAAAGATTTTGTAAATATCTTAAATTGACAATTTTACAGAGAATGAAAGGTATGGAATTTAGGATAATCAAGAATATCCAGCAGCAGAAATTTTACAAAAAAAAATAAATAAATAAATAAATAAATAAATAAATAAATAAATAAATATATATATATATATATATATATATATATATAGATAGATAGATAGATAGATAGATAGCTAGATAGATAGATAGAGAGAGAGAGAGAGAGAGAGAGAGAGAGAGAGAGAGAGAGAACATGGGAATGGTAGGTTGCTGCCAGAAGTGGTGTTAGTGAGACCAGCAGGGGGCGCTCAACTTACGCTCTGTGTAGGTCCTAACGCTCCAGTATAGTGAAGGTGACTCTATACTGCTCACTAAGCGACAATAAACCGAGGTCCTTACTTTCTGTGGTTGTTAAAAATCCTGAATTCAAAAAAGAGTAGGGGCTTAACCCTTCCCTGTCCATCATAATTCATCACTTTCATCACTTTGTCTTCTCTCTGTGTGGTGTGCGGTCTGGTGCAATATGGCTGCCACCAGGTCATCCAGGTGGATGTTGCACAGTGGTGGATTCCTCCCCCAAAGAATGTGTAAATTGCTTGGAGCATCCAGAAAACAACAATTTAAATGTACTGAATTATTGTTTTTACAGGTGTTAATGAATAATTATTTTGACTTGAAACAGGCAAGGGTGAAAAATTATTAATAAAACACTCTATATTTCACATAGCCCATTTTGTTCTACGAGTTTTATCTCCCAGGACGCTAGCCTATTAGCATATATGATAAATAAATATATCTCAACTGTCAATAATAATCATAATATCAGTTTGGGTGTTTATCTGGTTATTTATGATGGTGACGGCAGTTTTCTAGAAGTTGACAGCACATTCCATCAATGAGGAACAGAGAAAGTGAAGGGTTTGGAAAGTGACGTTTGCTTTGTTGTGTGTGCACAAGGATTCACTCATTTGGTGCTTAACTTCCCTTTATTACTTACAGTAAAGAGAAATTGAGATTAGCTTATAGAGAGAAAAGTGGGAAAGGTCTGCCAGATTTCTTAAGAACTTTTCATTCAGTATTAGGATTGCAAGTAGTTCATATTTCAATATGTAGTAGTCCTTGAAAGTGAAATGTGGTCCACACAGTAAAAACACAAAATGCCGACATATTCAAGAATTAATCATTTTATTGCTTGACCTGCCATTGGGACAATCTATACCAAAAGGTTTACAACTTGAGCACATCCAATGAAATCAAACCGGATACAGTTATAGAAAAAGAATAATAGAAAATGGTCCTCTGACATTTTACAACTCTCTGTATTGAGGGTTTAATGTACTGAAGAATGGGTGAACAGGAGTCTCTAAGCCCTGAAGGCAAAGCTTATAAGCAAATATATATCAATCCTCTGTACATACTAGAACACAGATTTACTGAAAGCTCCAGAAGAAAACACCACCGGCAGTCACAACCAGGGCAAGAAAAGCAAGCTACTGAAAACAAATTTTAACAAAGGTAAAGGTTGCTAATACAAACACATTTCCAGTGTACCGCTGAATGTTCTTCAAGAAACAGGGTGTAGCAAGCAGAAAATGTGGTGGAACTAAATCATATTTATAAAAGGGTTTTTATTTATGCATTTTACAGAAACCATCAAAATATTTATGCTTCCTTTGTCAATTCCGCACTGCCAAATGAAGTTAAACATAAATGAGCGATAACATGTAGAGTATTTAGCCTATCAAAGGGGTTCACAGTTCATTATTAAGAACTCATGCTGTAGTAATATCAATTTAAACACATTTAATTAAACCCCATTATAAGCCATAATCCACTCATTAAAAAGACAGTTGAAACAGTTAATCAAAAGGCTTTTTGAAAGGTCACATCCCATGAAATTAAGGGTGCAAAATCTGTTTTGAAAGCTACAGCACCATTATTTGACTGATTTTAAATTCCAATCCAGTCTGGGGCAGAATTTTGTGGATGTCAGAAACATTTTCATGCACGCTGCACCGACAGTCCCTAAAAACAAGTGTCAGAAAATAAAAAGAAAACAACTGTCCCATGTAGAGGAGACAAATAAAAATACACTAAATAAAGTTGTTCACGTGCAACTCTCTTTAATTAACAGCAATTGTGAGACAGTTCTGTGCAAACTTTTTATTTACTGGAGCTTTAAGTCTGAATAAAATACATTGCAAAAGAGAATTTGGATATATCAATGAAACAAAATATTATTGTTTATAAATAATACAGGACACAAGTATGGTGTATGAATATATCAGAGGGAAAATTACTGCGAGAGATTAGCTATGCGGTATGAGAGTAAAGAAATCAGGCACTTTTCAAAACCTAAACTTGCTTCCAATATCATGAGTCTGTGTGGTATAAAGGAATCGGACATCTGCATAATTACATAACACAAGATGTGCAGGAAACAAATACACAAAATGAAAACTCACATCAAATATATTCAAATAATACAAGAGTATCTCTGAGTGACAATGATTAAAATCTACCTTCAGCAACTGTTAACACTATTGAACCACCTGGTAAAACTCAGAGAACCCTAAGAACAATATTCTGATCAATGATTAAATTGGTGGCGGCAGTGGATCGGGAATTTAATCCCAAACATTTGATGGATCCCTTCCCTAATGGCATACAGACACCATAAACGGTAAATACTGTCCCTGTTTTAAGACTTTCATTAAACTAGAAGCTGAAAAATTGAAATCTCCATCTAAACAGGACACTGATCATATGAAAACTATTCTTCTTAGTCCTGCACAGAATATTTTGATTTAAAAATTTAAAACATCAAAGAAAGAAGAAATAAACGGGAAAAACGAAGCAGTTCACACAAACTCACATAGAAAAAAAACAACCTAATGGATCTCAGTTGGCCAAGGAGGTCACCAAACACTCACTTCCTGTCGAATTCTCTCTTAACAAAGATTCAGATTGCATTAACCATTACATTTCTGAACAATTAAACAAATATATACTCCCACCATAAAAACATTGTGGGGGAAACAAACAAATATAAGCAGTTTTTAAGAAAGAAGAAGACGTGAAAGCAGATTCGAGTCATCTTGATCTGCTCAACATAAGAGTCCATTGCAAGCTGTGTGTAGCATGAATGAAAGCAGAACAAAACATCCAAAAACACATGAAAAACCCAATGCAATGGGATCCAATGCCACAATGAAAAACAGCAGGCGCATAGAACATGTTTTCATATATATATATATATATATATATATATATATATATATATATATATATATATATATATATATATATATAAACAATAAACTGTGCAAAAAATATGGTTATGGTCATTTACTTGTAATATATAATCATATAAATACACTATATATGTGCAGCTATACCAATAAAAGAGCAAAGCTGATCACCGTGAAAAACACGGTGATGTTTTAACTTCAGTTCCCCCCAAAAAACAACATGGATTTATGCCTTTGGCTTCCCTATATTAAACGCTGGAAATAAATGAGGGAAAACTGAATGTGAAACGCGATGATTCAATTAAGATGCATCATCATATACTGAGTAGATACACTACATCCTGCCACTATTTTCCTTCCAACACTGTTATGCAGAAATGTGAAGCAATCTGGAGGCAAGTGGAACAAATAAACATCCCAATAGACCTTGTTATTTCAACATCTGTTCAGGTGACAGGCATCTGTGGCACAATGATTGGCTCGTTTCTCAGGCAAAACTAACAATCGGCCTTACGGTGAGTCTATGATGGACACGGACGCGACAGGGTACGGCACGAATCGAAAAACAGACAGAGAGAGAACACTGAAGTAAATGGGCACCTGGGTGTTGGAAAAATGCATAAAGAAAAGTACGAAAATAAAGCGGATTTGCATTGGTGGACCCTGCAATAGAGGAGGAAAGAGCCTGGCGAGCGCCTCAGACCGACAGAGATACGAAGCTGTTGTACTGCTGGATGTTTCTCTTCAGGATATCTGAGCAGGGGCCGAGCACACGCTCGAACCGAGGACGGTCGAGTTTTACACACTTCAGCGGGCCGCGGGCAACCACGGTGGCAGCACGAGGACGGTTCATGAGCAGAGCGATCTCTCCTGTGGAAACATAAAGAAGCAAATCAGAAAAGAGTCACAGAGAAATGATGAAGTAAGAACTACATCAAAACTGAGGATAATCAGAGACAAATATTAAAGGAAAACCCATAGAGCAAGTTTCAAACCTTTTCATGATCAACATTACAAACTAAAGGAAGATAAAAATGCACAAAGAATAGCAGGACCCCTTTGAGGGGCACCAATGGACACATTTGTCAATGCATCTACAATGGCATCACTGAGATATGTTCAGAAATGTGGCAAAAATGACACACATACCGAAGTAGTCAGACGGTGCGAGTCTTCCAACCTCCACAAATTCTTCATTCTCCGACCGCCGTTGCAAGACCGCAGCCGAGCCCTGAGGACACAAGTCTAATTCAATACCTCTCTTCTCCTTTGATATCTCTCTGAGACGCTTTCTACAACTATTTCCTAATTATTTACTAATGTTTTTAACTATGCATACTTATTTAGATTGTCAAAGTATATAAAACCATATGACTTTAAGTAACACAGAATTGTTGGTGACACAAGCAGAAAAAAAGTGTAAAAATGAGTGAACTAAACAAGACAGTCTACCTCAAGAATTATGAAGAACTCATCTCCTGGTTGACCCTGCACCACAATCTTCTGGCCATCTTCAAACTGGACTGTCTCAAGTGCATCAGCGACTGTCAATCGTTCCCATTTATCCAGAGACTCTGTTCGCAGAAGGTTAGCATGTTATCTGTGTGCACTTCACTTCTTAATATCATACATGGGTTTATAATGGCATTACATGACAAAAAAAAACAACTGCTGTTTTCATATACAGTCAGTCATACATCTTTTACAGACCTTACATACAGGAATTACAGATTTAAAAAAATACATAAATAAAACTCACCCAAAATGGACACCTTGCTAAGGAATTCCTCATACATTTTCCTCTTTCTTAAAGTACTTCCCTAAACACAGAGTAAAAACAAGATTAAGCAAGCGCGGAAAAGGTGAACATTAAAAAAGCAAGATTCTTAAAAACAACAAAACACCTTAAAATATAAAAGAGTAAATCAATAATAATGAGAACAAAAATGCGTAACAATACCATGCAAAATTCTGAAATTATGTAGACAAACGGTGTACCAACCATGAGTATTCTCCTGTAGCTGTCTCTGTCAATGCCCCACAGCTTGACATTGGTCTTTGCTCTGACAGTGGCTGCTCTAGGAGTGCCGTAGATTAAAGCCAGTTCACCAAAACTGCCACCTTCTCCAATACTGGTCACCCACTCATTGTTCACATACACCTATTCAAGACAACAACAGATCAAAAAACATTACATGCATTATTAGATAATAGAATTGGAGATTTGTTTACAACAGACTTGATGCAAAAATCTTTTATTAAATATGGGGGAATGGTTTGGGGGAGCTATTATACTGTCTATCATTACTATTAATTAAAAAATGTTAAGAAAAAAAAAACAGAATCACTCACTTACTGATTATTTGACTGAATAATATCTCAATATTTTTTTTATAATTTTCAATTACAACACTAACGAATATGCAGTAATTAGTTTACATTTGGTCATTTAGTTTCTTTATTAATTATTTTATTTAATTTGCATTACTGCTAGTCTACTGCTAGAGTTCTTTATTTTCGCATTTGTAAAGTCCTTAAAATTAAAATTAAAATCCAGGGTTGCCACAGGGGAATGAACTGCCAACTTATCCAGCATATGTTTTATGCAGCGGATGCCCTTCCAGCTGCAACTCAGTACTGGGAAACACCCACAAACGCTCTCTTTCACAAACTGTCTACATTTTTTTAATAAGCATTTTTCTCAGGCTGTGTTCATGTTCAGTTATTTCATTTTATAGTCAATGAGCCATTTATCCCCATAAAAGTGAAATTATTGAAGCACCACACAGAAGCTTTCGAGAAAAACTATTTTAGAAGAAAATTAACATTTCTGAAAACAGATCATTTATTTGAAGAACAATGTCGTAATTATAATTTGCACTTACATCCATTTCACCTTGATCAATAACGTAAAAATTATCTCCTTCATCCCCTAAAATGAGAAGCACAATACATCAGTTTAACTACTTTACACGTTTTATTACACCCTCATTGTTTCCACAAAAGAAGTCTCACCTTGCTGAATGACAGTCTCCCCTGCAATGTAGGTGACTGAGAACATGGCGTCAAATATGTCACTGCGAAGAGCAAAAAAAAGTGTTTAATGAAACGAAATCCTCCATTAGTTGTTCTCTATAATCAAACCAAACAATCAAAACCAAAAAATGTTTTACCTTCTTTCATTGTCGTCAAGATGAGCAAAAAGAACATTCTTTTCAATTGCTTTAGCAAGGGCAGCCATAGTTTTGTAGTCTTTAGGAATGACCTGGAAAAAAAACACCAAACAAATGCTTACATAAAAAGCAACTGAACTGAAAAAAAAATGTTATGAAATATTAGAGATAGGGCTGTGTGATATTGTGAAATTTTATTTTTCTGATGTACAAATTTCATCAGATGACTTCAATAGCTCTATTTGGATTCATTAAATTAGTTTAGATTGATCATGCATAAAATATAATAAACAAATGAAAAAGTAGTAGGCAAGCAAGCAAAAAAGTAAGTCATGGTTGAGGTTAGGATTAAAAGCATAGATAAATACAATAGAGCCAACAGTCACAGGTGTTAAAAACACAGGCAGATGATAAACTTTCTCTCTATTATGGTTAAACTCCTCAGCGAACCCACAAATCTGATGTGTTCTGAACTGTAGCTCCTGCTCAATTATAATCACAACATATAAAATCACATAAGACTATTGCAAACTTCAACATTACATTACCAATACTGAAATGATATATTGTGCTGCCCTATTTTGAGTCATGATTTATTGATATGAAATACTGAAATAATGCCATACAAAAACAAGTTTTTTTTTTTTTTTCAGAAAAGCAAGTAAGAAGTTATTTACCTTTCTGACATAAGAAGTGGCGTCCTCCTCAGTGTAGACCTCTGCACTGATGGCACCACGGCGCCGTCGGCCTTTAACCACAGGGTTCATAGGAGGAGAGACCTCATCTTCCCGAGAATCTGAGCGAGAGCTGGACTTCTGCTGGCTCACCATCTGTTTAGCCTCCTCCTGATTGACATAAACACCATTCGTGGAAGTGAGACTTACTTTTTATGAGTATAGAAAATGTGTAAGTGTTCAAGCCCATGCGGTTTTCCTCTGAAGAACACAACTGACCAACTCAAGCTTCTCGAAGTAGTCTCTGAGGTAAGCCATGGGTCTTTCAGGCCTGGCGGTGCACAGCTGCACAATGCAGTCCTTCAGCAGCTGCTGGATGTTGTGCTTCTGCACGTAGCGCTCACACTCCCGCAAGCTCCTCTCTTCTTCACTGCTCGTACTGCTGGACGCCATGATGACCTGCTGACCCGACACATGCAATTCACATCAGTTCATGACACTCAAGGAATCTGAAGTACAGAATTAAGATCTGACAAAAAGTAGATGTTTTGGAAGTTTTTTTTTTTCTGGTGAGCACTTGAGGCTAAGTAATGGGTGAGTAAATGGTCATGTTTGGATGAACTATCCCTTTCATTCTCCTTCAGAATACAAGTGGAAGATATTTGTAACGAAATCTGAGAGGTTTCGGTTCTTTCACAGTTTACACAACGGCCACTTTCAAGAACCAGAAATGTTGTAAAAACATAATTAAAGCATGTGACTCCAATAGTCCAACCTTATTTTTTCCTCACTGTTTAAAAGGGTTAAATTGATGTGTCATATGAGGAAACTAAAATCCTGAAGAACAGCAGCCTCAGAATCATTTACTGGGGAATGAGTTACATTAAAGCTTTCATCTGGTGGTGTCAGTTTCACATACTTGCACAGGTTTCCCTTGGTTTGCCATTGAGGAAATGCAAAACAACAGGGAGAAAGAAAGTTTTATACAGTATTATCTTTCCACAGTAGACGGCATCAACTGGATGCACTGTATTGTTAGAATATCTGTGCTCAGGTCAACACAACAAATTCCTCATGGAGCTCAACATGTGTCAGAATGTAGACATGACGAAACTGAAAGAAGTTATTTTATTTTGTACACAAAAAGCATTGCATCACCTCATTAGAATATGAATATAGCTCATGTAAACCTTACTAAAGTTTTACTTTTATACTAAAAATTTGGCACTTGAAAGTGGTTGTTGCATGGCCTGTCAATAGAAGGACAAACAAACCTATGAACAAACATCTCATCAAACATGTCCTAGGTATGGTAAAGTTATGAGTTTGAAACAACATTGGCAAGTAATTTTTTTGGGAATTTTCATTTTTGGAGACTTTTACTAAGTCATCTTTAGTGTATTTCCAGTTCACAGTCACACATGTTCTTTGAATGGAGGAAAGAAAATAAATGCCTTTGATGCAATAAGTTTTTATTTCACTGTAAATTCTAATATATCATTTAATTTTACATTAACGGTTTCTGAGTAACTAATTACTCATTAAAGGTTTTGGGCTCCATTTATGTGCAGCTGGAAGGAAGTGGTTAAAGGGTGTTCTCGCCAAGCCATCAAACTAACTTCACACAGAACATTGTTCTTGAGTGAAACATTATTTTCAGATTTTAACTGTAGATTTTAAAAATAAATATAATTTTTCTCTGGACTGGCACATATAAACTATCCACCACACGAATAATAATGTGCTTTATTAAAGTAAACATGATGAGTTTTCATTGCATAAAGAATTTAAATACAGAATTACTCAATATAACAATTGTTTTTGTACTGCTGAGACTTTCAGAGAAAACAGTTCAAGACACTAATAAAATCAGGCATCTGGAGTCAGCAGCTTCATTGGCAGCGCTCCAACCCAAGTCATGGCTCAGGGAACTTTCGTAATCCTGCACCCCCTTTCTCCCACTTCATTTCCTGTCCACTGTCCATATATAAATATTGTGTCGTATATCAAGCATACGGGAATAAATTTGGATTTTTGTGGCATCTTTTAAAACACTTACTATACATACATCTTTTGTCATTATCATGTCTTTACTTTGATATAACAGTCATATTAACATATCCATAGGGGAATCCTATTTTCTATTCTCCTACCCTTACACAAACCTTTCTGCAATTTTATCAAACATTTATTATCATTTTTAGTGATTAAGATCCACCTTTTCCAGAATGTGCCTACTGTGTTTTTAAAAATATGGGTGGTATTACTAGTTTTGGCCTTAAACTTTCATCATTTCAAATAATGAAGTTGAATTTCAGATTCATATCTGTAATAAAACTTGAATGAGAGGTATTTATTCTGTTGCACTTCATATTTAACTCTCATGAAAATAAATCAAATTAATACACTTGGTATTTTAACAAAACGTTACTCAAACAACGTCACAATAATATCTATGGCACGAGCTCTTTTCAGTTTGATGCTTTTGCTTCTCCAGATTATTAATTTTCTCTTTATTTTCTCATGTAAATAAAACATTACTGCAGAAAAACTTGTCTCATGACTTGCTGAAAGCAATTTGCTAATTATACTAACTTTCCTTTTAATAGTCAGTGGTTGAACTCAAATATTTCTGTTAGGATAATTAAATTTTAATTTTCAGTGTGAAGTTCTCATTTAAATTTTTTCTAGAGATCTGCCATTGTGGTATATCAGAGCAGTTACTTACATTGAAAGTTTGCATCCATTTTTTTAATCAGTCCTTATTGAGTTTAGTTTTATACATTTGTTTGTTGTAGGCATGGGACAATAACTGTTTTCAAGGTATACCGTAGTTGGAAAAGTCATTTTTTTTTACCTGTCAAATGTTTTTGCTATACCATTCCTGCGGTATATGCAAGATTTCTTTAATAATTTTTTTTGTTTGTTTTTTAGGACAGCAGTATCTCCAACAGAAAAGATACCCAAAAGTGGTGTTTCAAATGGTCCAGAAGTTTGTGTTTTTGAAACTAATAAAACAGCAGAAGTCTACGATTTATTTATAATATTTATCCTGACATGTTCACTGCTCCAAAATACTTAAAATGTTTCTCAAAATAAAATGTGTTCAAAGAGGGGAAAAAAAAAGTTTTTGTTTTTGAAACTGTGATGTTTTCATCTAAGGGTATAATAGTGTCAGAATCTTACACCGGCCCATGTCTACTGACTGTACAGCACTTTAGTACATGTGTAGCTGTAAAGTGCTTACAAGATCAAATAAACGAGAAGGATATGGATTGCAAATATTTATGAGAAATTGTAACTTTTTAACATCTAATGAATTTCTACCTGCACAGAGAAGTTAAATGTGTAAATTAAGAAGATTAAAAAAATGTGTGAAAAAAGAAGAAAAACTAAATGTGTAAAACATTCAAAGTTTTCTGTATAGATATGCATCTTTCTGGTCTTTTTATTTATATTTCAAAATGTCTTTCATGACAGTGGAAGTCCTCTGGATTAAACCCCACGTGAAACATCCAGGTCATAACCAAATCTATCATAAATCCATGCTAGCAGATAGTGATGTTGCTGTTAATACTAAATGTTACAAGCTTCCAAACGTGTTGTCAAACTGAAACAAACTAACATAAATCTTACATCGCATATCTAGTCTAAAATCTCTACTTTAACTTACAATGACACCACACAAAAGCGATATATACTGAACTTTCATCTAACTGTTGATTTTTGACAGCCATGCTATGGCTCCTGGTTCCTGTCGGGGCCCCTGAGCTCATAAAATTCGCAGTTCGCATCCCCACAGGCATTTCTCAACATTACGCCATTCGGTCATGCGAAAACAACCATTTTGGTCCAGAAAACATATTCCAATATAACTAGACTTCATTGAGTCAATGTTAAAGTGTTGATCGGCGTAATCCTGCAGCTTCTTCCAGCTCTGTGTTTTTTGTAACCAGTTTTGTCAAGCAGCAAAATACGCCATCTTGCAAACTACATTATCACAACAACGGAAGCCGATGGCATTAAATTAACGTCTCTACGAGCTTGTCAGCTCGCGTATCGACATCATCAAACGTTACAGTAAAAGCCGCTGTATTTAAATATTCATACCTGAGTCGCTTCGAGGAGTTTGTCGACGTGCTTTACTCCGTTTACACTGATTTTCTCACAGTCCTTGGATGGATGGACGCCTCACCGGAAAAGGTTATGACCAATCACAAACAACGATTGACGTCAATGCGCCTCGATCTGGGAAGCCGGTTTCCCCTGACAACCTTAAAGGGCAAGGGCTTGTTTTTGTATTTAGAGAGGAGATCGAGGTTATCAACCAGAAAACTCAGAACATTCGGCCGCACATGACGTGAGGGTATAAATCACATTTTACGCTCCTCCGGGAGTGACATTCAAATACAGAAGGACAGTATTCCTTACCCACGTGTTTAGCACTGAGAATGAATCTGGTGACAGCTGAAAAGGTTAATGGCTCTGTACATAAACCCAAGCCTAAATTGTGCCAATTCAAGCAGGGTCACAACACTGCGAAGATATGACCCCCCCTTAAAATTAATGTCTGATTGACTGTTATTACAGTACACCCTTAATAATCTAGATTTAAGTTTTCTTTTCCTTCAGCTGAATTGACATCCTGCAAAATATTTTCATTTCCTGAACTTATGCTATGAATCAGGCCATGCAAAATGTGTCAGGGTGAAACCAGGTCCTGTTTTAGTGTCTAGGTTAAGTTTACAAAACAGATTTACAATCATACAAATGTACAATATTATAAAACAGTTGGCGATACCCATTGAATCTATAAGTATTAGTGATATAGTAATTGTGTTTTGCATATATAACTTCTATAATAGTCTGTGTGTGTTCAGCAGATGTAAGATGCTCATAAACGCTTTACCCTCTTGAGATTGAGTAAATGGTTAATAAATGTATTTCTTTTTTGGAACTGTGCAACTTTAAAGGGCACCTATTTTACCACTTTTTCAAGATTTAAGATGAGTCTTTTGTTTCTCCAGAATGTGTCTGTAAAGTTTCAGCTCAAAACAACCATCAGATTATTTATTATACCTTTCTGGATATTTTCTGCTCTGGACAAACTGTAGCTGTTTTTGTTGCCTGTGCCTTTAATGCTAGTTCTCCCCGCCCACCATTCCCAAACTTGTCAGAGTGTGCCACAATCTCAGCTGAGTCAGATAAACAGCACAGTGACAGACAAGAAGGAAGCAGATCTCACGTAATGTTTGTGAGAAATACTACAGTAAGAACTTTACTGATGCTTATTTTTTATGTATTTGTTGTGGAGTTTATTTAAGCCTTTCGATGAGTCACACAGAGTTTTATTACAAAGTGTACACACGCACACACACACACACACACACACACACACACACACACACACACACACACACACACACACACACACACACACACACACACACACAGCACTCGTGTTGAATTTTGCACTGATTTTGCAATGCGAATGTGAGAGGATACATGTTATTATCCACTGCTATATCGATATCTGTAATGTTAATGTACAAAATAAACCTGATTTAACGTCCACAAACCGAGATTGAAGCTTCTTTTATAATTGTACTGACATGCGGCTGTGGTTACAAGTAAAGATGGTAAAATTGCTGTAATTTCTTACAAACATGCACTGTTTTAAAAAAGTTTTTTAACTTGTAAAACTCACTCTTAATAACATTTGGTGATGATTGATGATCACAGAGAGCTGAACAGATCTTTTAATCTCAGTTGCTATGCGCAAGTCCTGTATTGTTGATATTATTATATGCGTTACTATGGAGACATGTTTATGCAGCTGTCAGTCAATTCGGTGGGCGGGGAAACCGCACTCTTACGTCACGTGTCTCTTTAGCCCCTTTCACACATACAGACCTTTCCGGAAAATTGCCGGCAATTTTCCGGAAAGGTTGTATGTGTGAACAGGTCCTTTTTGAAAATACCGGTAAATTCGTTCTGGCTATTTTCCGGAAAGAGAAGTTGTAACATTACCGGCAATTTCCCGGAATGCTGCGCTGTGTGAATGCAGAAGGAAGATTACCGTAATAAGCGCGTGCACGTCTAGAACGTGCTGACGTGAGACGTCTGCTTTAGCCAATCACAACATTCAGACGCGTTTACGTCCGCGCGGTTCATGAGAATAAAAGCCTTTGAATATTTTTCCAGACACATTTAGCTGCTAGAAGTTAGTCAGATCACGTTTGTATGTTCTTCTTAATGCCAACTGTGTAAATAATCATCGATGAGATGCTTATGATAAGCCGTTGTTTGTTTACCTTCAAGCTTTGCGTGTGCCTGTGAAACAGCCTGTGAGCGCCTGCACACGCACATATTATGAATCTCGACATGCGAAAGTGATCCTGCGAAAGTTGTTCACAATATTGATCATCCACAGAGTTTGTAATTTATAGTCAAATGTTTACAAATACAAGCGCAGCCGTTCAAAGCTCATTTGTAGTGAATGATGTCAGAATTTACCGGTATTTTGGAATGGATGTGTGAATGCTCTTTTCCGGAAAATTTCCGTAACATCCTCGCCTGTGTGAACAGCGCTTTTTTCAATATACCGGTAAAGTCGTTCCGGAAATTTTCTGGATATTTACCGGTATCACTGTGTGAAAGGGGCTATTGAGTGCCTTAATATGGGAGAGATTTGGATCCTATTTTAACATTTATTTAAATTTTTAAAAAGACATGTTCTCTTTACATCACGCCAATATGACAGTGGAGACACTATACCTACACATAGTTCTGTCCAAACAGCTTCAAAAACATGATTTTCATCATAGGTGCCCTTTAAGTTCAACTTAATTCTTCCACGAGTGAAAATTTCTCCTTTCTTCCAGAGTGAGCGTTTGATTTTTGGTTTCATCTCCATATCAGCTAACTGAGCATCCCTTAATAGACTGTAACTTTCTTCCCGCAAAATCACCAGTTTACAGCAGCATAAGTGGTGACACAATTTTTTAAAGGGCAAAACACATTTTCAATTAGGCTTTAACATATAACCCAGTCTCTATAAAACAAATGATTTACCCTTTAGTTAATGATGAGGACAAGACTGTACAGGCCAGGTGTCAATATCAGTACATAAAGACACACCCTCTCTTATCTTCTCCTCCCTGCTGCCTCTGCAGCCCTCCTTGCCACTGCTCAACCTCATTCGTGTCGACTGCCCAGAGTCCACGAACTCAGCCTTTCAAAAGCTCCAGCACAAGGATTCAGGACATTTCACTACCTAGCAAAAGAGAGGAAGAAATAAAGGTGAGGGCATAGCCAATTTTCCATTGTCAGATTGTTTTATATGCAAACCTGCATTCACTTCTTAGTGACATCAACGTAACATGACTTAACTGGCACTTTAGTGGCAAATTGAAATAGAAGATTGACAAGTTTGTAAAGTATTTTATGTATAATCTTATGTCAATTGAAAATAACTAGGCTTGATGACTAGAATTTCTTTCAAATTGAAACATTACAATCAAGTAGATTTGGGTGGAGTATGACAAGCTTGCAACAATCTGTCTTCCTTTTTCAGTCACACTCCTTTTCATGATTGCATACTTTTCCTAACATCTGTGGTGCATTCCAGGATCTCCTTGTCGAAACATGTCTCTCTATAGCTTTGGACTGGAGCCTCTGTCCTGTCATGCCTGGAACAAAGACCGGACTCGTAAGAGCAAACTAGTTGAGCTACATTTCAATATAAATTACATCCCTTCAGGCTCCTTATGCTGCTGCCTGCAGTTCCATTTTAATCCATTAAAATCTACTCAGAGGAAGATCAGATAGTCTTTAGGAGAAAAGCTGCACTTCTGCATTCGTATGAATGATTACTGTCAAACTGCAGCTCTGTTTTAGATGCTTGTTTAGAAGAAATTCCAGTATAATAGTTTATCAGGTTTAAATGTGTATGAAAACTGAAAATGTTGATGTTATTCTTTTTTTATTATTAGAAATCGCCATTAGTCCCAACAGCAGTGATGTGCACATTTATCAAATGAATGGAAAGGAATGGATTAAGATTCATGAACTGACTGAACACAGTGGTCGAATCACAGGTGAGAAAAGAGAATCGCAGCCACATTAGTCATTAACCCACTGATACTGTGGGATTGACCCATAAAACAAACATTATCTCAGCGTTCCAGTGAAGGGCATGAACTAAATTAGTGTAAACACTGCATGTCTGCCAGTGTAAATCTATGCCAACTGTATCTTACACTTGTCAATCGCATTAGCTACACATGTAATAGCTACACATTAGTGTCACATGTATTGTTTTTGTACTCATATTCCAAAAGATCTAGTGTAATTAGACTTTATTACATTTTAAAATGCTCATTTTGAGATAGTTGTATTGGATTATCATCTTTCAAATGATTTCCACATTCACATTATACATTTTCTTCATTCATTTATTCTCTGTAAACTATTTTAATTGTTTAGTTTTAAATATTTGCAAAATAAAATGCCTGTTTAAATTATCATGCAAAAAAAAAAAAAGCTGTGTAATCCAAAGTAGACCAAATACAATACATTCATTAAGTCATTTTCTTTTTGGCTTAGTCCCTTTATTAATCAGGAGTCGCCAAAGCGAAATGAACCACCAACTTATCCAGCAGATGTTTTTATGCAGCGGATGCCCTTCCAGTCGCAATCCAACACTGGGAAACATCCATACACTCTTGCATTCACATACACTATGGACAATTTAGCTTATTCAATTGACCTATACCACATGTTACATGAGGAAATCCACGCGAAAACGAAGAGAACATGAAAACTCCACACAGAAACGCCAACTAACCCTCGAATCAGCGACCTTCTTGCTGTGAGGTAATCATGCTACCCACTGCGCCACCGTGATGCCAAATACAATACATAAAAAAGTAAAATAAAATACAGTACTGATGTATTTCCATCATGTAACCTGTATTTAGGGGCGGCATGGTGGCTCAGTGGTTGGCACTGTCGCCTCACAGCAAGAAGGTCGATGGTTCGGCTGGGTCAGTTGGCATTTCTGTGTGGAGTTTGCATGTTCACCCCGTGTTCTCGTGGGTTTCCTCCAAATGATCCAATTTTCCCCAAAGTCCAAAGGTCGTGTAGCTGAATGGGAAAACTCATAGTGTATTATTGTTATGTATTATAGTTGTGTATTTTAGTGTGTAATGTTTCGCCTCAAATTATGATGTTCAAATACTGCATTTTTAGTGACATTTTAAGCACTAATTTGTGCTGGATTAGTTTGTCAGTTGGTTATCATTACCACACTCTTTGATACAACAAAAATACTTCCTATATTTTTATAGATTTTCTTATTTGCAGCGCTTATCATACTATTTTTTTGTTTACAAAAATGTCTGTTTTTTTAAACAAATAAGCATTTAAAGTAAGTTATTGGTTTCATATATAATATAATGAGATTAGAATTTTAGAAATATGAAAAAAGCTATTTTTTTAAACGCTAATCCATTATCAGCCATCATAAACAATAAACAAACACTAAAATAAAATTGTCAATATGTTAAAACTTGTTTTAAATTAAATCTGTAGCCTATATGCAAATAACAAACTGGCCAGCTCATTTCCTCTGTCAGAATTTGTCAATTTAAATAATACAATTTTATTGGTTATTTTTCTTAAAGCCTTCTTCTATTGGTTATTTTCACAATTTATGATAGTTTGATTTGGATATTTTTTTAACACATAAGCTTCCACTGATTAGTTTTCAATCTTAAGACTATCAAAGTGTGCTGGTAAGATTAACACTGTAAATGTTGACTTCATGTGGACTTCTACTCAGCACTGATGAAGTGTAAATGAATAGTTCATCATAGAAACATCAATAAAATGCATTATAAAACATGAATGTTCATTTTCTGCAAGCTTTTGATAATTTTTTAATTGCCCTTACTTAAAAGGGACCTATTATGTAAAAATCACTTTAAAAAGGTGTTTAAACACAATTGTGTGGCAACAGTGTGTAAATATAGCCAAACTCAAATGGTCGAAATTCATTATTATATATATTTTTTTGTAATCCCACTTCATAAAAAATTGGTAAAAAAAAGGATTGACTTCCTTTGTGTCATCAGAGAGAGAAAGTCTTGCTCATATGATTATCTCATGGGGCCGCCATTTTAAAAAAGAAAACAAGGTTGCTGTAGAAAGAAGCCCGAAAGTATAGGATGAGCACTGTAAACATTGCAACAACATGCTGTGGACTACAGACCTCCAGCTGTTGCTGCGATTTCAAAATGCAGATATGGTGTAAATGTAACCCTGCCGGTCCTACACCACCCAACCCTTTTTGAGCTGGGATCGAGCCGGCGACCTTCCGCATGGAAGTCGGTTGTTCCAAGTAGGTATCGCTGCAGCCCGGAGACCCGCAAGTGGGAGGGATTACACCGCAAGTAGGTTGGGTGACCCCCAAGTGAGCGGGACTTAAACCACAAGTAGGTTAAGTTTATCAGGTTATTGTGAGGTTGGGTTTAGGGTTAGGGTATAGGGTCATAAAGCACAACATTGAACTCTTAAATACGACTAAATAAGGTTTGCACAGCCCACTTGGACCTCTAAGGCCCACCCACTTGGAGCTGGCCCCGACCTCCGTTTATTCCCTTCTCGGTTGTTCTAACAAGGAGGCTAAAGTCCATGGCCTCTAGCATCTGTCGCAAGAGCACCTTTAGAGGTCAGAGGAGTGAGGTTTACCTGCACAGCACTTACTAGCTGGCCTCCATTACACTCTTCTCCATTAAAGACTCTTGCACTGTTTGAGGGAGAGATGATGTGTTTTGTAAAAATCCAAAGGTGTCAAGATCGGCATTTCGCAGAAAAGGTCTGCTATAAGCCTTGAAGTACCAATCAAATGTGTTGGTCCAGAATCTGTTCAGAGAGGGACAGAGCCAAAAGGCATGAGCAACCGTGTCCTCTGCTATCTTGCATTATCGCACATTGGTGAGACGGAAGGAAAAATTTTATGAAGCTTGGCTTTAGTGTAGTATAAGAATCAGTTCCTTAACTTGAGTTTGATAAATGACCTCTAAAATGTGTGTTTGGGAAAGAAAATGTTAGCTAACTAGTGCCATTTCCCTTTACTTAGTTGAAAATGAGGTCTGATATCCCAATTTATTTTGACTATACCCTCAGAACGGACCTTCGCGTCACTTAGAATGTGGTAAAATTATAAATATGTGTCACTTCCTCTTCGCTGGCAAGATATACAGCCAGGTACACAACGTGTTCCAACGTGACTCCAGGCTATACTTCTGGGTTTCTTTCTACATCAGCCTCGAGTTCACTTTTAAAATGGCTGCTGCATGAAATCAGTCTATTAGTGACAATCTCCTCCTCATTTGCACAGACAGCCCTGAGTAAGAAGCAGCTTTTTGAATCTGCTGCTATGCCAAAGCATATGCATTTTTAAAACAGGGCTCAGTTGAATTTTAAGCAACCATCACAAAAATGCCAAATTTGGATCAAAGTCTAAAAGGGTCTCTTACAAAGAGTTATAAAACATTATTTATTGGATATTTTGAGCTGAAACTTCACATACACACTCTAAGGACATAAGACACTTATTTCTCATCTTGTAATAAGAGGCATAATAGGTCCCCTTTAAAACGTCCAACATAATCTATTGCACTTGACAGAAATCTGCCATTATTTGTATTCAAATGATTAATAAACTTAACTAACAACTGATTTGCTTTCAGGGATTGACTGGGCCCCAGAGTCTAATCGAATAGTGACTTGTGCCTCGGACAGGAATGCCTATGTATGGACACTCAAGGATGGGGTCTGGAAGCCGACACTGGTGCTGGTTCGCATCAATCGAGCTGCCACATGTGTCAAGTGGTCGCCTCTTGAGAACAAGTTTGCTCTTGGAAGCGGGGCCAAACTTATTTCCATCTGCTACTTCGAAAAAGAAAACGACTGGTGAGACTTGCTTGCATAATGTCTTGTAATGTAATTTTGCAAAGTTGATTCGTCTGGTGACTGAGAGACACATTACAGTATCTCCAGTGTAGCTGTGCCACAGTTCTTATGTGCTTGATTGATCCCATAGGTGGCTGAGTAAGCATATCAAGAAACCCATTAACTCCACGGTTCTAAGTCTAGACTGGCATCCCAACAACATGCTGCTGGCTGCCGGCTCTGCTGATCTCCACTGCAGGTTTCAATATTCAGATGCTGCACAATATTCCAACATTCATAATATTTTAGGGTAACTTCACTTTTTATTGTTGTTGTTTTCAGAATATTTTCAGCATATATCAAGGACATCGAGGACAGGCCTGGACCAACACCATGGGGTTCCAAAATGCCCTTTGGGGAGTTGCTTCTGGAGTATAAGGAGTGTGGTGGCTGGGTGCACAGTGTCTGTTTCTCTCCATCTGGTGATTCTCTGGCCTGGGTTAGCCATAACAGCGCCATCAATGTAGCAGATGCTTCACAGGGGAAAGAGTAATAACAGCATTTACAATAACAAAATGTCTTCATTTTTGTCTAGAGTGACAGAAAATCTGTTATTAAATATTCTTGAATTCGATGCATCTATAGAAAACTCTACCTGACGGCAATAATATGCGCAGTTCAACCTTTTCCTGTCATGTTTAGATACATATCAAATTGTGTGCATTGCAGGGTCACTCAGTTGACTACAAGACATCTCCCATTGCTGAGCGTGCTGTATGTCAGCGAGACTGAGATTGTAGCTGCGGTAAGGAATTGTCCATCACTTGTAGTTGTATGTAAAATGAATTGCAAATGGAAGTGAGCAACCCTAATGCCCTACTCCCTTTGAAAGGCAGATCCCTCAAAGTCTGTTCTGGCATTACTGTTAAACTTTCATGTCTGAAATTCCACTGGCGATGGGACTGACTGTCCAGCCACATATAAACCTTGTCCTGTTCATTTTGTTTCCACTTTTGTTTTAATAGTTTCTACAAATAGCACCCATTTTCTGAATTGCCATGCAGGGGAAAAGGGGAAAAACATTGTATATGAAAACATTTGAGAGGGATGCAGACCTGGTGCAGATGCAATCTGAGCTGCATGCAATGCTTTTTAATGGGCTAATCTAACTACACCCCCACCCTACCCTTCACAGTGACGTCACTAGCTCCATTTAATCTCAGCTTGCATCGTAAAGGCTGCATCCAAATACAATTGAAACATTTGCATTGAGTTGAGAATAGGTGACCATGGACCACAAAATTTGAGTCCATGTTTGAGATATATTATTTCAAAGCTGAATAAATAAGCAATACATAAATGATAGTAGGTGGATTCGTGATGCAAACTCGTGATGCACATAACTGTCAACATTGGGATGTTAAAATAAGGGCCCTTATTATTATTATTTATTTATTTACAAAGTATAGAATAGTATATATTAGGAAAAGCTGCAAATAAATTAGCAAACAGTTTAGCCTATTTAAATTAATTGCTATTATAAAGAAATTGAATCAATTTATCAAATTTCATGAATTTTTTCTTCACTGTATAATTCAAATATGCTGATTAAAGAGCAGCGAATGAATCTCTCATTTAGATTTTTCTTTTGATCACATTAAATAACAGAGGTGTCACTTTAAAGATGGGGGGGGGGGGGGGGGGGGGGGGGGGGGGGGGGGAAGGCGCCTGTAATGGAAAGGAAGGGAATCCCACCGTTTTTACATTTATTTCAAAGGGTTTTATTCCTAAATAAAATGATAGCACAGATAAGATTCACATTTAAAAGCAAGGGTCGTCCCCTGGTGGTTTGGCGGAATGAGTTGAGTATAGGGAGGATCAGCTTTTGATGTTTATTGCCACCTTTCATAGAAAGATTAAAAATATGGGGGAAATGCAGGAAAAATACCTTCATGGGATAATAGCAGGATAGAATTGTAAAATACAGTAGAATCCCGGGAAAAACGGAAGGGTTGACAGGTATAGGCAAGTGTAAGGGTTGGTTATGGGGACTTTTTTCAGGTGCTGCAAAATATAACTGCACCTATTTTACTACAAAATTTCTTCATTATATAATATACACCAGAATGAGAGTAGTTTGTGGAAAATAGTGATTAAACACAATGTACAGCTCATTAAGCTTTAAATAGGAAAATTATCAAAAAATTGGTCATTTTTGAGCAAGATGGTAATGGTCTAATAAAGTGTTTCTCACCGACGTTCCTGGAGGACCACCAGCTCTGCACATTTTTCATGTCTCCCTAACCAAGCACACCTGATTCAGAAAATCAGCTCATTACTGAGACTGAAAGACCTGTAGTGGGTGTGACAGACAAAGGAGACTTTAAAAAAATGCAGTGTTGCTGGACTTCCAGGAATATAGTTGAGTGACACTGGTCTAATCCGATTAAATGATCTATGCTAAGCTAAGCTAAGCTAAAAGTGCTCCTATCAAACCCAGAGATTGGCTGAATGGATTAATAAATGTTAAATAAAGAGCTCTAAAACTAGTTGTAAATTGAGTATTATAAGTATAGTATTTTATTTTTAAAAAAGTAGAGTGTTCCTTTAATGCAACAGTTTTATTGAGACACACACATTAATAACACAGATCTGAGATTTTGCTTCTCAGACACAGAAACCTTCAGAAACACATACACTTTTATTAATAAAAAAGGTTTTGTTAGTAAATCTCTGCATCATATTTCTCAGCAATGAGTGAGCAAAAAGCAAGTAGGTTTTTAAAGTAGCTACATTCACAGCTTCTTAGTTGAGAGAGATGTAAAAATGCAGTCAGGTAATCGTTTTTATCTCACACATACTGTATGTATGTGTGTGTTTTAGGGCCATGACTGTTGCCCTTATCAGTTCTCATACAAGGGTCCTGGAAGCTTGGAGTTTGTGAAGAAAGTAGACATTCCTAAGCAGAGCTCCAAGGGCAACATGTCTGCCATGCAGCATTTTCGAAATCTGGACAAAAAGGCGACCACTGAGGAGGAAGACACTGGGTTGGGCAGTTTGCACCAGAACAGCATCACGTAATGAACAGCTTTACAGTCAGCCATACAATATCAAATAATTAAATCTTCTATATGCATGTTTTGCATTGTGTTAATGTTTTAACAATACTGTTAATATTTCTGCTATAGCCAGTTGTGTATTCTGGAAGGGTTGAAGGCCAAGGTGGAGAAATTCAGTAGTGTGGGCTTGGATGGTGCCATGGTTGTCTGGGATTTTAAGGTATTTTCATTATTTTAAGGGATTTTAAGTCTCAATAAACAACTCACTATGCAGTGATGTTCCTGCGTTTTTATTAATAATGACTTATTGTTATTTTCTTCATTTTAGCACTGAAACTCCATGGGATCTGGAGCGAGCAGAAAACAATTATAATCTGGATCGACTGTATATGTTTGTTTTCCTCACATGCTTTTTTTTTTTACTAATAGCTCCCATTCAAAGCTTTTTTAATCTATGATTGCATATTCCTATATTGGAAGTATGCATTTTTCCCACTTAAAGTATTAATTAATCAAAACTGCAAAAAAAAATGAAAAAAATGCAATCCCATAATTGTCAATAACTGTGTTGTTTCAACTCATTTTAAATAAGTAGTTTGAACGAGCAACAAAAAATTATATATATATATATATATATATATATATATATATGCAAATGTATGTTCCAACTGTGCCGCTAGTGTGAAAAGCACACAGACTCAGTCTCATTTTATGCACAAATAATTAAACTATAACATAAAATATTTGTATGGTTTCATCTTTTCTTCTGAGTGTGGAAACACTTGCAGCACCTCACAACTACAACAGAAGTTTGTTACATGCAAATAACTGTTATTCAAATAACTAAAAAACTGTTGAACTGAACAATTTGACTGATAAAACGACGTGTAAGCAGAAATATTAATACATACTATCAGTTACCTGAAAAATTTTTGAACCTGAAATATTTTAATTAATGTCATCATGTTCATGTCAGTATGTAGCCTATTTTTAAAAGCTACAATTGCTTCTACAAATTAAACTGGAACATATTTCAATAAGCAAAATGTCAATTAATTATATGTAGACGAAAGCAACAAACAGACTAAATTTAAGCTTGTTTAGGGTTTACTAAAAGGTAACGTTGCAGGCTAGGATGTCACGTGATGACGTTAAAATTCACCGAGTCTGTTCAAAATCAGTCCATGAACTGTTCGAAAGAATCCAGTCATAGTTATAAACATGAATAAATTCTGCAGAAAAGGAGGACGCCTGTCATGAGTGGCTCTGTCATATCTGTATTCGTGGACATTTTATATGGTTAAACTCTCTGAATATGTAAACCAAACCACGCCCACGTTTGACTTAATTCCGCACTCTCCTCCAATCAGCGTCTGGTATGCTTCCCTCGACCAATCAGCGCTCAGCCGGACGACAACACGGCGCATATTCTGCAACCACTAGTATGTGTTGTTGACGTGACGCAACAACTATCAGCTGGTTTTGTTTTGCTTCATTCTCTCTGTTTCGCCTGAAGTCGTAAATGTACCCCAAACTGGCGATTTAATTCATTAACGCGAGGCTGAACGGTAGTCGAAGCGTTCGGGTGTCTTTTGTCTTCTACTTAATTCGGACCGTCCAGTTTTTCTCCCGTAGGTCTCCGCTTCGCCACTATCTTTCCAAGAGGTCCAACCGATCCCAGGCCTCCGATCCAGGGCGGAGGGAGGGAAGGAGGTCGTTGGGAATCGGGATGGAGACCGAGGAGGGAGCCGACGGTCCTGGCGGGCCGGGGCCGGGGCTGGGGCTGTGCTGCGCCTCCTTCAACCAGGACTCCACGTAAGCGCTGCTGCACATCTGCAGATCAGTCTTGCATCATCTGCCGAATCGGATATTTCTAAGATGCTATTAACCGCGATTTACCTCACAGAAGGGAATGTCACCTCTGCTTAAAGGATTGTCCGCTGCTTGCTGTCTGTTTTGATTATTATATCCATTAAAAAGTATGTAATAACGCTGTTGTAACGGTGGAACAGAACCGGTGTTGTTTCAGCACTGTTTTATCAATGGCTGTACGTTGTGTTTATAGTCAGTAGTACTTTTAACAAGGGTTCTGTGATGCTCATAAAGTCTTCAATTCAATTAATCCTTACAAAACTAGTCCGTTAAATGTGTAAAATTCTAGCAGATGTAAATTCATAAAGGCGTTGTATGCTCTACAAAAATGTTTTGTAGTGCAACGCTGTATGTTATTGCTTGTTTGTTTGTTTGTTTGTTTAATGCAAATGTCCTTCAATCGATTTTATTTTGAATTAAGGTGATGTATATTGAGCCCACTGGCAGATATTGGTCCATGCTGTAATCCAAAATCTCAATATCTTCATCAAATCTATAGAAACCATCTTCAAATGGAACAAAACAAACAAACAAATAGACTTATAATCATATAAATGTTAATATATACAAAAAATAAAAAATAAATAGATACCCTACCCTTTTCATTTCCCTCACAAATAGAGCTGAATTTGCATTATGTGACCCTATTGATCCGTCCAGAGTCTCCTGACAAGCTGACCCCACTTGTGTCCTCTCTTTTGGCTGATAAACACTGGTTTCTTGTCTTAAAAAGTGAAGCACAGCAAATCATATATACAGAACATGATATGGAGTCAGGCTATTTGTTAATTTGCTCTTCTGAGATTGAAGGAAGCTGGACCAAAACACCTCAGTATGAGAAAAATCTGAATCTAGTTGTTTTAGGTGCTGTTGATTTGTCTGTCAGGTATTGTGTACAGCTGTGATTGCCAACACATGTCAGTCGCAGTAAACACAAGGTTTTATTTAGGGATTTTAGCGATGTGGTCAGCGAGACATACTTATGCTCTCCAATAAAAGTAGGAATTAGCCATGCTAATGCTAAGCACAGGATCTGACACAAACAGCTTCGTCTGGAGGAATCATGGGGCCTGCAAACCAGATGTGGACATTTTTGTCTACTCAAAAATAAGACCTGGTACATCCAACAAGTCTAGATCAAGCTTTGTTAAGAACAACACAGCTTGGCTTGCCACTTACAGGGATAGTTTAGTCAAATACTCCATGCAAATTTGCTGTTCATTTACTCATCTTCAGGCCATTCAAGATGTAAGAGATTTTTGTCTTTAGTAAAACAACAAAGAAGATTTTTAGCTGAAATTCTGGTCTGTGGTGGTCATAAAATGGCTTTTAACGATACACTGAGGTATTGTGAAATAAAATGATTCGTCTGGAGCATCAGGCTGGTAATCATTGTCTTGCATTGTATGAATCACCAAGGGCCACAATTTCAGCTGAAAATTATCTTTAATATTCTCAAGAAGATAAAAAAAACATATTGGATAGAGTGAGTAAATGATCACACGTTTATTGCTGATCATTATTAAATTTTTTTATTTTATTTATAATTATTACTATTAATTATACCACTTTTTGAGATAATTGTTCCAAAAATGAAAATGCCCACATTATTTGCCCATCCTCAGATGAATTAAAACATGTAGGAATTTCTTTATTCTGTTGAACTCTAAGGGCATACTCACACTATGCTATCCGAACCGTGCCCAGACTCGTTTCCCGGATGGTTTGAGAAGTGTGAGTGCGCTGAATCGGGCTCGGGCACGGTTTACTTGGCCGGCCCTGGCCCGTTTAGAAGAGGTGGGCCTGAGCGCGGTTCACTTGGGCTGTACAAGTTCTCATATTGCAGAATATCACACAGCTATCAGCCAATTAGATTCGAGAAGCAGACAGAACTGTTGTATACAGTGAAATAATGATAGTTGATACATCAGGAGATTGTGTTGTTTCCACAGGTCTTTGGCTGTGGGCACCAAAACTGGATACAGGCTTTTCTCTGTGACCTCGGTGGACAAACTGGACTGCATTCATGAGAGCGGTGAGATATCTTGCCATTCTTTGTAAATGTAATCTAAAACAGAAGTGTGGTGGTCTGCCAACCATGCAATAGGAGGAAATATCATGCACCTTATAATGTGGACATCATCATAGGGTGTAGCCACTTTCTATTCTAATGGGTTACTTCACCAAAAAAAAAATTGCCATGTCATTTCCTTTCTATTCTGTTGAGAACTTTTTTTTTTTTATTATACCTTATCTCAGAACAAGTTATGTGACTTGTGGTTGTGCTGTCAGGATCTGTGTTGTGCTAATCTCACCCTAGAGTACAGTTAGAAATAGCCCACTGATTCACTTTACATGTTGGCTTTTGACCCTGTGGTTGAGGTTGTTTCTGTAGTCTGCTACTAATGTATGTAAAACAGAAAGTACACTTAGAAAATCAATAACTTTATTTAACGTTACATTTATTTGAATATGTAACTTTTTTATATTTTATTTAGGCTTTTGTGTTTTTTAAATACAAAAACGGTACAAGGAAAATACACAGATATAAACATAGCAACCCCAGCGATAAATCTGAACATAAAAATAAATTAAAGTGAATAAATAACAAACAATTGGTGCTATTTACCAAACAAAGCAATCATAATGTTCAAATGTAGTTATCGTAGTATGATCAGTTGTTCCAATACATCGTTGGCATAGCACTAATCACTTTTGAGGAAATCCAGAAAAGGTTGACATACAGTTTGAAATTGGTGTTGAGATTTTGAGATTTTTTGAGCATATCCTCTCAAGCTGAATGACTTTGATACAATTCACCCATCCACACTTTGAAACATGGAGGAACAGAAGGTATCCAGTTTAAAAGTATCCTTTTTTTTGCAAGAGTTTGGCCTATTAAAAGGGGACATTACTGGGACTTTGGAAAAGTGTCTAATGTCTCAGAATATCCAAGAATTGCAAGACAATGGTCCAGCTTAACCTCCTTTTGAGAAAACTTTTAAAATAATTAAAAATATATGTTTTTAGAAATTAAAGAGTTTATGACAAAACCAAAACATAGGTTTGTAGGATAAAGAACCCTCTTCTATTTTACATTTTTCACTATCAAAAGAATCTATTATTTTATTTAGTTTAGTTTTGGAATAATCAGCATCCTATAAATTACTTAAATTAGTTTAAATATTAAGTACTTTTTCTGATGTGTAGCAAACCATTCATGTGATTCTTATTCAAACATCAAAAGGGGATTTTGTTTTTCTATCAAGCTCCCAAAAATAATTTAAACTCATCATTAAGAACCGCTAAATACAGTTGAGGTCAGAATTATTAGACCCCCTGTTTATTTTTCTGTTTAACGAAGAGAAGATTTTTGTCTTTGCCATGATGACAGTAAATAATATTTGACTATATATTTTTTAAGAGACTTCTATACAGCTTAAAGTGACAATTAAAGGCTTAACTCGGTTATTTAGGTTATAGGCAGGTTAGGGTAATTAGGCAAGTTATTGTATAACGATGGTTTGTTCTGTAGACTATCAAAAAATATAGCTTAAAGGGACTAATAATTTTGACCTTAAAAAAATTTAAATCTTTAAAAAAAAAATAATAATAATTTTAATTTCATTCTAGCTGAAATAAAACAATAGGACTTTCTC